CCCCAGCCCCTTATCAGGCGCATTCCTCCCGTGCCGGTGGGTGATGGAGGAGCTGGGAGCAAACACGTCCCGTCCCCCCCAGCGTCTCCCTCCGCGGCCCCCCCGGCCCCCAAGGCCGCCAGAGCTCCCGGCGGGGCCATAAATCCAAGATGAAAGCCCTGTGGCTGATAAGGCTCTGCCCCGGCCCCCCTGCCCCACTCCTCAGGCCCCAGCGCTTTGGGGGACGGAGCCGGGACCCCCCCAAGCCGTGCTCAGCACCCTGAGGGATGCTGGATGCGACCCCAGCCAAGCCCCGAGCCACCTTCCTCCATGGAGGCATCTCCAAGGGGATGAGCTGGACCCTTGGTGGTCCAGGGCCAGCGTTCGCCCCGATGTCCCCAACCAGTGGGGAGACCACGGGGATGCCCCCTTTACCCCCCCCAGTGCTGGGGGGAGCGGGGCTGCCCGACTCCCCAAGGGTTAAGCACCACGGACCGAGGTACTGCTGCATTCCTGAGCGATGAAGCTGCAGCTGGGCCCCACCATCCTCCTCCTCCCTCCCAAACCCAGCTCAGGGGTTGCTGCAAACAGGATCAGGCCCTGGGGGGGCGGCACCCAGCGGGGTCCCGTGTCCCCCCCCCAGCCAAGGGCACCCTTGAGGTCCTGCCTGCATGGGGACAGGGATGTGGCATTTGTCCCCAGCCCCTCGGGGACATCCCCCTGAGCCACCATGTCCCTCCTGTCCCCACGGGGGTCCCGGGCACCCAGGGGGACCCCCGCCCCGCCATGGTGCACCCAGGAGGGGGTCCTGCACCCATGGGTGCACACCCGGGCCAAACGGAGCCCCATGTCCCCTCAAAGGGTCCTGCCTTTGCACGACCCCCGGCGATGGGGAAGGGGGTGCATCCCCCCAGGACCCCCCCCCTCTGGGGACACGCTGCGGGGGGTGGCAGCTGGCAGGGGACACTGGGTGCCACCCATCAGGGCCCCTGTGGCTGTCACCCAGGCCACGGCAAACAAAAGCCCGGGGAGAAGCTTGGCTTCCACCCAAAATGGGGTGCGGGGCCCCCCAGGCTCCTCAGGAGGAGACGCCGAGGGGTGACGCTGGTCCCGGGGGGCTTTAGGGTGGGCTGCAGCACCCTGGGGGGGGGGTCTGTCCCCCCTGGGGTGACGAGGGTGGAGGCGGGTGGGGGATTTATGGCTGAGCATCTCCTGGCGTGGGGCCACCCACCCGTGGGGCTGAGTGGATTCGGGGCTCGCCTGGGGTCGCTACCTGGGGGTCCTGGGGATGTGGCTTTGCCCCCCTCCCCGGCCCGTTTGCCCTCTGTGCCTCAGTTTCCCCAGTAAATGAGGACAAAGCAGAGCGGGGCTTGGCTGGGAGCCACCGAGGGCGGCTGGGAAGTCCCCGCTGCTCCTCTGGTGTCAGGTTGAGCCTCTCCTGCCCGCCCAGAGCAGCGGTGGGGGGGACCTGGGGGGCTTCGCGGGGGCCGGCGGGGGGGATCCCGCACCCTGCCGGGACCTGGCACCCACCCAGGCCCCTGCTCCCCCCCCGCCGGCCCTATCTCGGTGGGGAGGGAAGTATTTGCCTGGGTTGCAAATTCCTTCGTGATAAGAGAAGCTGGGCGGGATGGAGAGCTTCTCCAGGGGGGATGGAGAGCTTCTGGGGGGGGGATCGAGAGCTTCTCTGGGGGATGGAGATCTTCCCTGGGGGATGGAGATCTTCTCCAGGGGGATGGAGAGCTTCTCGGGGGGATGGAGAGCTTCTCTGAGGGACAGAGAGCTTCTCTGGGGGATGGGAGAGCTTCTTTGGGGGATGGAGAGCTTCTCTGGGGGGTAGGAGAGGTTCTCCAGGGGGTGGGAGGGCTTC